TTCAGATCACATTTTATGACAAATTAATGCAGACCACCATGAAATTCCAAAAGGTTCACATATTTTTTCTTGCAACTGTAGAAACCTCTAAATAATACCACTGCTGACATATGAGGAAAGAAAAATATGGACTTGTTGCGTAATGTACAGGGATCATGGAATAATTCATAACATTTTGTATATATAGCAAACTGTATAAGCAAGCCAAATAGGCAACTAGCCTACATATTCAATATTTTATCTTTTCTTTCATCATCTTAATGGTAAGCAAACTATGACTGAGGCAGTTGTGTAGTCTGTCTGTAAGATTTCCTGCCCCCTCCCACTTCCATTTCTGATGCCATTAGCACTCTCTGAAGCAACTGTCTCAGGAAATGTCTCATTAACTAAAATGCATTGTGTGCTCTGCATTTCCTATTATATTCAATTGTCCACAGCCATCAGTGTCTTATTATATTAAGTCCCTTGCCTGCAGGATAGCTGAGTTAAGACTTTTAGAATCAAGCCTATTTAAAAAAAAAACAAAAAAACTTTAAGTCCATACATGGGACGTGTCTAGTGGAAATGTGGGTATCAGTATAGAAAATTAATTATTGTAAAATATGACTCGAGTCACAGATGAAACTTTTAAAGGTAATTTGCTATATTTCATGCTTGAAACTATATAAAATGGAGAAAATTGGAAATCAGAGCAGAATTACTGCCCATATTTTTCAAGAAGAGAGAATGTTGCAGACCAAGTAAAGCACAATATCTTCAGGAAACTGACTAAAAAGTTTCTTGTGAATGGTTGTCCTTGGAAAACCAGAAGGGGAGTTCTGCTGTCTGACATAGCTTCACAGCAGGCAACTGAAATAGAAATTGTGCTAGTGTGTGTGTGTGTGTGTGTGTGTGTGTAGTGGATGTTCAGATTGGTCCAGCAATTTGTGTTGGCAATAAAATTTACCAACAGGCCTGTTCTCTAAAGCAACAGAATCCTTGTAAACCATCATTTTTAAATCTGTTGTTGCACCAAATCCAGTAGTAGAATATCCCTAACCAGATTTGCCATATCTTGCACCTAGAATGTTTTGCATGAAAAGCATACACTGAACCTTTACTGGCAGTATATAATATTTACATCTACAGTACCAGATGAAATGAGGTCTGCAAGAACTAAGACTCATGTTTGTTTTGAAAGATTGCCTAGTAAGACCAAGTAGCTGTGGATGTTGAGATCTCTTGGATGTGAAGATTTTCCATTTTCAGTTCTGAATAGGTAATATTTCCCCAGACAGACCTGTTATACATTTTGGGGGTCCTCCTAGAGCCATGATTCCTTCTTGAAGAGCAGGTGGCTGCTGTGGCTTGGAGGGCCTTTGCACAAATCCTTCATGTGTGCCAACTGTTCCCATTCCTAGATTGGGAGGCCCTACTCAGAGTCATCTGTGCTTTGGTACCTCTCATCTGGATTACTGCAATACACTCTACTTGGGACTGACCTTGAAGATTACGTGGGAGCTACTGCAGATCCATAATGCAGCAGCACAGGCACATCTTATACACCTATGAAACTCCTACTTTGCAAGTTGTTCTGGTTACCAATGTGCTTTCAGATGCAATTCAAGGTGCTGGTTATCACCCTTAAAGCCCTTCATGACACATGGCCTTATTATTTATAGGGTTGCCTCTCTCCAATTATCTCTTAAGTAGTGGGCATGCTTTGGGTCCCATCACTTAAGCAATATAATCTCACAGGATTTGGGAAATATGCTTTTGCTATGCTGCACCTGCCCTATGTAGTAGTATACTCCAGAGATCTGCATAGTTTCATCCCTGCCTGCCTTTCATAAGGCTTTGAAGACCTTTTTCTCCCTAAGAGTCTCTGAATCCATCTGACATGATTGGTTTGATTGCTGAATTTGCCTCTGGCAGAATCTGCAGAGTGGACAAAAAAATTAAGACATAACCATATGATAGAAGCCCCACCCCTTTGTAAATCCCTGCAATGTTGACACATATACAAAAGGGGCAGGGCTTTGATCATGTGGTCATGACTCCTATCTTTACTTTTTTGACTTCCTCACCCCTACCCCCACCCTGATACTTCTGTCTATATAACAAAGTTCAATCTGATCTACAGAGTTCACTTTCAGATGCTACTGGATTCAAGATCCTTGAATGTTCTGGGGAATTTTCAATTTACTATACTTGATAATCCATTTGAATTGGTTAATCTGAGTAATGTGAAGGTGATTCATATAGTTAATACAGTAATTCCTAAATTACCTCTCTAATTAAGAGGAACATGGCTTCTTTGGTCTATATATAAGTAGATGGTTACAGTGTGTGCATGACTAAAAACTAGTTAAAGCAATTTTAAAACTTATTGCATGATGACAAGGACAAGAAACTATGCTTTTCTGCTACTGCAACATTAGCAAAATGGCATCCGGGAAGAGTGGTTTCGGATGGGGAACTCTTGGAATCTTGTAGTGTTGAATTTGCAAAACACTTTGCTGATAAAATTATTTCCGTCTGTTCTAATTTTTTACTCCATATTGGGAGTTAGAATTTGTAAGGGCAATTAGGTTGTCTAACAAGTATATAAGTTATTCAGAGAGATATATTGACCAGCAATGTTTTGATTGCTTTCTAGAAGTTAGATGTATATACAAAGCATATTGCAACTTTAGTAAGCAAAGAGACATCATTTATTTATTTCAAACACTATTACATTTGCAGACTATTATTTATAAAGGGAAGACAAAATTATTTTTCTATATTACATTAATTCAAAACTGGCCTGCTAAGCAAAGATATGTAAACTGTAATTTTATAAACACAATGAGGCATTTATTGTACAAATTGCTGTTTCTTTCCCCAAGAATATCTTGAAAAAAAGTTTAAAAATAGATGCCAAAAATATCCCTCTTTAAATATACATCCCCATCCCTTTCCTAAAGATATCCTTCATTAGAAACACCTGTCTTTTAATAATTAATACCCCCTCCCAATTCCCATGTTAACTGAATCCTAGCCAGAGAGTACTACTAGTAGTACTCTAAGTAGTAAAGGCATAAACAGTGTGAATAGCCCTGTGCAAAGTGATGACAGCACAGTACTTACAGATCATAATGCTCTTTATACCTGCATTTGTTTTAGCGAATGCTGTGGAAAGCTAAAACTGATGGAAAGTATACAAATCATTTGGGGATGAAGATTCTGATCTAGATAGGTAATTTGGAAGTATCAGGGAATCAAGGCAAAGCTCTGATTGTAGCTCTTACTCCTGCTATTCAACAGGGCTTCTTTTTCCAAAACTGATGTTGATCAATGCAAATCAGACATTCAAATGTTTAACAAATTAAGCCTAAATTGGAGCCCTAGCATCAAGATATTTTTATGGGTTCCAAATACTTTCAAGAAAAGTTCTTGATATACATTTATTTAATGCATTTAACCACTAGCTAGACACCTGAATGAATAAGAGCACATCTTGAAAAAGATTACATTTGTTTTTCTTTGCCCAGCATTGAATAAGTTTCATCCTCTTCATACCCCAAGAGAAAGTGAACTTGAGACCTTTCCTTCTTTTATAGTCCCTTCTGGCACTTCTTTTGGAATGAGGCTTTCAGGAAACTGCGGTAGCCAGGATCATCCACATACTCATTCTTAAATCTGGAGCTCAATACTCGCTGCCTTTTCTTTTGTCCTTGGATAATATCAGCGCCATAGAAAGTATCTTCAAACCTCATATCAGAAGCTGTAGACTAAAAACAGAAATTAAGAATATATTTCACCTATAGAAAGCCCCTACTGACAGAGGGTTTTTTTTTTTTTATCTTGGCGTAAAACAAATCTATTTAACATAAATCCTGTACCCCTCTTAAAGGGTAAAACTTCTCACATTTAATGGACACAGTCTATCTTCAGTCCAGTCTTAGAGATATTCTACAGAGTCAGTAATCATATGGCATAGACTAGGTCAAATATTCCAGATTTTTATACACAGAAGGTATTTTTATCTAGAAGAACAAATATGCAGTCTGAAGTGGTAACAATATCTCATCCTAAGGTCTTCTGATGAACACTTCTTGGATCCTTTTTACACACACACACACACGCACGCACAGTGCAGCTATCATTGTACAGTGCAGTTTCCTCAGCTGTCCCTCCAGAGTCAAGCTGAATGGTTAATATTAAGATTTCACATAGTCAGATATGTCCCAGTATATTTATAAACCACATAAATCATCAATACTCAAACATCCTTTCCTACATTATAGTATACCACCACTATTATATACAGTTGCATAAGTTATTAAATAAAAACTTCTATTAATTTAAAATAATATTTGCTAAGTTTTTGAAATAATACCATGGACCACAGCAGGTATTATTTTCTACCATGTACACCCCTCATATTTTTTACTGTTTGCATCCAGAACAAGAATCTTACAAATCCAGATATGTTTTATTGTCCTAATAATAATCATCCTGTTGACGTTTCAGTTTTTTCACCCTTACTATTCTAATAGACCAACATGGCAATAGACATCTTATAAACAGACCAATTTGTAAATCATCATTTTCTCTCTTTTATAGCAAAATCATGCATTATCAGTCCTTATACCTAGATATATCTGTATGGCTATGTATACAAACTAGACATTTGAACAAAACTTAAACCAAAAGTCACCAGATGACACAGTCCTAGCAAATTTAAAGTGATCCCTGTCAAGAAGGAGTGGTTGATAGGCAGACATACACACACACACTCCTGTGCAATATCCATCTTTCATACTTTGTCATCATTGGGGTGTGAATGCTCCTTCCCAATAACTCTATGTATGTGAAACACTTACAGAATCCATATCCCAGCTCTGGAATTCAAGAAGCAGAAATGAAAAAAAGGAAAATTTTGCTACTGAAGGTCAGCCGAGGTATAGGAAAATTAGCTTGGCTGTCCATCTGGGATGATAACATCAGAGTGATGACACAGCAGAAACAGAGTAGCAGGGATGGGCAAAAATGTTTACACAGACATAAAAATATATAGTGTTTTATCAGTGCTATGTTGGAATGTATGCAAACTAGAAAGTCGTAATTAAATCTGCTCATTCTCTAGGATGCATAAATATTCTTCATGTAGACTTAGGCAGGGGAGACATCTTCCCTCACCACCCCCATCCCTTCCATCCTGGCCAAATTACAGGGAAAAAAGGAAAACTCTTCAGTGGCTGCCCTCTTTTTCTTCTGGAGAAATTACTGTAACAAACAAAACCAAGCAATTGTAAGCCTTGGCACCTCTGCATTTAAGAACACCCCCTTGCTTGTGATACCCCAGGGCCTCATGACCCAGACTCTGGGAGCCCCTGCTTTAGTGCTTGACATTATCAGCACTTTCATGTTCTTTTATTCTAGAAGTGGGCAGAAGATGTCTGCTTTAACCCTAAGAAGTTCCAGTGTTCCAATTCTTTTCTTCATTGCTCCATCTTTTCCTTGGCTTCATTCCCAAACATGTTAAACAATCACTTTACTAGTTCAACTTCCTTCTATTGCTCTGACACTGCCTGTTCCAATGCTGCTATCTCACGCTCCTTCTAGTATCATACCTGCTTCAAACATCACTCTATTTTCATAAGGTCAATGTTATGCTCCTAATTCCATTCTTCCCATACTCTATACCAAGCCTTTCCTAATCCTGGCACCTTCCAGACATGTGGGGTTTAACTCCCTTAATTCCCAATTAGCATGACCCTTGCTAAGAATTCTGGGAGTTGAATTCCAGTGCCCAAATTAAGCAATGGGTGGAAAAAAAGCCACCTTACAAATATTAGTGGAGGATGAAACGGTAATAAAGGTGAAGGGATTGGGATGCACAGCTTCATCCATTTAGCCTTAGCAAAGTCAGAAAATAGATTTCTACAGCTGTCTGGCTTCCAAAATTGAACTATGAGAAACTTATTGACTTACTGTAAGAAAATTTACATGAAATTATCAGGCCTAAATGCCAGTACTTGTCCATGAGTACTGGGAAACTCCCAGATTTCGGGGAATGTTATTCAAATGTAATTGACTTCCCTGAAAAGTCACAGAAATAAAAATTGTCTCAATTTCAAATAGCAGGAATCAGTACATCTTCTGTGCCATCCAACAATAAAGGAGTAAATTCTAAACTCCATTACAAGTACTATGTAAAAGAATACAGGTAGTCCTTGAGTTACAATGGCAATGGGGACTGAAATTTCCATCGCTAAGTGATGTGGTTGTAAAGCGTGATGTCACGTGACCGCATCACTTAGCATCAGCAATCTCTGCAATCCCTGTTGCCCTCATTAAGTGAGCACTTCCTTGCAACTTCCTGCCAGCTTCCAACAACCAAAGTCAGAGAGGAAGCTGGCAGGAAGTTGCAAGTCCCACACGGTTTGCAAGCAGGCTGGCAGGCAGGTAAGTGACTGCTACTGGGTGGGAGAGGGTGCATGGGTGGCCAGGGAAGTGCAGCACAAGCACAGCGAGGCTTGGGGAAGGTGCATGAGTGGCTGGGGAGGTGCAAGCGCAGCGAGGTTTGGGGAGGTTGTGTGAGGGTGCGCGGGTGCAATTGAAGTGCAGAGGGGCTGAGGGAGGGTGTGGGGGTGGGGAAGACATACCTGAGCAACTTGCAACCTTCCCTGCCAGCTTCCCCATTGTTTTGCTTGTGGGAAGCTGGCAGGGAAGGCTGCAAATCACGATGACGTGACTGTTTTAAGTGCAAGCAGGTTGCCAAACACCCAGATCACAATCACGTGTCTGCAGGGGTGCTGGGACGTCAGAACTTTGAGGACCAGTCATAGTCACCACTTGTTCAGTGCCATCATAACTTTGAACAGTCGCTGAACAAGTGGTCGTTAACTGAGGACTACCTGCAAATAGTAATGGATTTCCTTCCTTCCTTCCTTCCTTCCTTCCTTCCTTCCTTCCTTCCTTCCTTCCTTC